CTACCACTGAGCCAAACTGGCCAGGGCTATCCAGATATTTTAAAAAAGAACCAGACATATTTTAACTCCTACATTTTGGAGAATATAATGTTAGTTCACAAGAAAATGCTGCAAAAATTAAGTTAGTTGATTCTTAAGTACTTAGAGAAAAAAAGCATTATTAAAAAAGAGCTTTCAGGGAGTTTTCTGTGCACAGATATTAGAGCTGGATTGAAGTATCTTCCTCTCCCAATCCTGATACCACAACCAAAGACGATCGGAAGGAAAATTACGGGTTCATTTCACTCAGAACTATAGTGCAAAAACCATTAAACAAAATACTAGCAAATAGCCCTGGCTGAGTGGTTCAGTGGGTTTAGTGTCGTCCCATACACCAAAAAGGTTGTGGGTTCAATATCCGGTTGCGGGCTTGATCCCCAGCAGGGGGCGAACAAGATTGATGTTTCTCTCTCATAGATGCTTCTCTCTTTCCTTCCTCATTCTAAAAAAAAAAAAAAAAATCAATAGAAATATTTAAAAAATAAATCAAACATATATCCTCATGTGAGAATTAAAATAAATAAATAAAAATATTAGCAAATAAAATACCAAGTTGACATTAAAAATAATATATTACATTTAAATTGAGTTTATCCTGGATGTTTAGAATGGTTTAATAGAAAAGTGCAAATATAACTTAATATATTAACAGATTAAAAGAAAAATCATCTAGTCACCTCAATAGATGCAATAGATTTATCTTTGATAAATTAACACTGAAAGTGTTTCTAAATTAGGAATGAAGATAATTTCTTTGATAACAACTGCATGAAAAACTGAATAAAATCCTTATGGGGAAATATAAGAATATTTTCTTTAAAATCAGGAATGAATCCAGGATACCCACTATTGTATTAGAGTTCTATTGTATTGGAGGATGTGGGCAGTTTATTAAGACAAAGAAATTCTTTTCAAAAAAAGAAGATTGGGAAGGAAATAATAAAACTCAGTATTTGCAAGTGACATAACTACTATATAAGAAACCCCAAAGAATTAACATGCAATTATTGACATGCATCATATCAGAGTTATAAAAACTGCTGGATATACGATTAATGTACAAAAATCAGTATAACCATTCTGTTAACTAGCAGCAAGCAATTAGAAATGTAATTACTATTGAAGATGATATCATATAATATCAAATGTCTAATAAAAGTATCAGAGATTGCCCTGGCCGGTTTGGCTCAGCGGTTAAAGCATCGGCCTGCGGTCCTGAGAGACCCGGGTTCGGATCCCGCTAAGGGCATGTACCTCGGTTGCAGTTTGTCCCCGGCTCTGGTCAGTCGTGCGGGTGGCAGCCACTCGATGTGTTCCTTTCACATCGATGTTTCTCTCTCTCTCTCTCTCCCTCCCACTCTACCTGAACAAAAGATGGAAAAATGTCCTTGGGTGAGGATTAAAAAAAAAAAAAAAAAAAAAAGTATCAGAGATTATCAAGAATCTACCAAAATCTGTGCAAGATTTCTATGGGGAACATTATAAAATTATGGTAGATATATTAAAGACAAATAAAAAGATATACCACACTCATGGATAAGAAGGTTTAAAATCATGAAGACGCCAATTTTCCCCAAACTGACCTATAGATTCAATGCAATCTCTATAAAAATCCTAACAATGTTTTCATAGAACTTGATAAAATCATAAAAAAATTTATATAGAAGAAATAAAAAGCCAAGAGTAGCAGGAGAATGAGAATTGGAGACAGAATCTGTGAGAGGCTAGAGACAGAAAGAAAATCTGTGTAGGCCATATACTGTTCCACCAAGACTTAGGAGAGGCCAGGGGTGGGAGACTGATATATGGGTAAGATAGTCCCTCTTCCTAGGCACCTAGTGACCCAGCTAGTCCAGGATAGGCCCAGAGTGGCTGTGGGGAGGGGCAGCTGCTTGCTGCAACAGTCATCTGGCCATGTGATCATGTGGAATGCCTGCAAGGTTGGTTCACCTGTCAGTCTCTCCCCTTGAACAGTGAGCTTCTGGAAGGCAGGGGCTGTAGGTGCTCAATTAATGCTTCTGGAATGAATGCATGAAAAGGAGGCTGGGGCAGCATCCATTCTAGAACATTTCGCATTAATTCTCCCTGTTCAGGATGCCATTATAACTACCAATTAATCTTGCTATTTTTTTTTTTTTTTTTACTTCTAAGTCATTCCTACTAAAGTGTCCTCAAACCTCTTTTTTTCCCCCCTAAAGAAAAAATATCTCTTTCCAAGCCACTGGGGATGGCACATGATTTGCACCCTCACAGCTTTGGAGAACAATTGGCATATCCAAAACAGCATTCGAGCCTGTCTGGATGGTGGCTTGTAGGGTAATAAAATAAAAAGTAATTTATAAGTGGCAAGGAATTTGAATAGAAGCATAATTCCATTTTCTGCAGAAAGCCAAGCTGTTCTGCATAATTTGTCATTCAGCCAGGGCTTTCTGACTTGCTCAAGCCAAAGGCTCCTACCTCCTCTCCATCAGTCACTGGTTCCTTCTAATTTAATTCTAAGTGGCAAGGCTCCCAGTATCTCAAGTAAATATGTTTGCTATCTCTCAGCTGAGCCAGCTGGTCTATGCTCTTTGCAAATGGCTGGCTGACCTGGGATGAAAAATCTTGGCTATACTACCCTTGAAACTTGCTGCCCGCCCCCCCCCCCCCCCCAATTCTGTTAGTGGTTTTCAGTTATCTATCACTGCATAACATCCCACTCCAAAATGTAGTGGCTTAAAATCACAATTTATTATTGATCATGATTCTGTGGGGTGGCTGGGCTCAGTGGGGCAGTTCTTCTGCTCCATGTGTATGGTTTAGGTCACTCTTGAGGTTGCATTCAGCTGGGAGCCCACTTGTGGGTGGAACATCCAAAATGTCCTCTCATCCCCCAGAGCCTCTCTTCACATGGCCTCCCATCGTTTGGTAGCCTAACCAGCTTCCTTCAGCATCACAGCTGGCTTTCCAGAAGGAACAAGCCCAATTTTGCAAGTGTTTATCAAGCCTCATGTGTGCCAATATCCCATGGGTCAAAGCAAGTCACACGGCCAATCCTAAAGTCACTGAGAGAGGGAAATACACCATAAGCTCATAAGCTTCCTTTCAACCTTGAATCTATTCAAATGCTCTCCTTGGCAGGCCAACAACATCTGTCTCAGAAAGCAAGGTCACATGTTAGCCACTTACGAGGGAGGTTGACAGGGAGGATGTAGTCTTCCAGGTGGAAATCCTCTCAGTGGCTGAATATTTAGGGACTCGATCTCTATAGACTAGGAACATCCTTTATGCTTTCATTGATTGACAGCTACGTTGGGAGTAAGAGGGTGGAACTTCCTATCCAGGCCACACAGGAAGACCAACAGGAAGGTCTGACTGGGCACTAGGCAGGGGTGTCTAAGCAAGCTTTTGAGAAGCATTTGGGCTCCACAAAGCCCCTCAGGGGCTCCCGGGGAGGGGAGGTTAAGGCGGGGAAGAGGACAGATAGGGCTCTGAAGGGAGAGACCACCTACCTCCCCCTACTCAATCAGAGCAACTCCACTGTTGTGTCCTTGCAGACTGAGTTTTCTTGTATGATTTTTGTTTGAAGAAAAGGGCTCCACAAGCAAACAAACAAATAAGTAAAAATCACCCAGAGAGTCCATCCAGAAGAAACATTCAGTCAGCTCAAGAGTCCCGCTGCTTATGGAGACAAAGGGAGGGTGGTGGTGCCACACACAGTGTCGGGAAGGGAAGCAGGTGCCACAGGCTTTGCCACTGAGGGTCGGGGCCAGCTGAGGTGAGCAAGGGCAGGCAGCTGCCCACCCTAGGGTGGTGGGGCAGGGTTCAGAGTCAAGGATCAGGTCTGTGCCCGTTAGTCTGAGGGTATGAGGGTACAGTCTCGGGGTGTCTGGCCTTCTTACCCAGGGTTCTACCTAAAGGTGTATGAGGCCTGCAGATGACAGAGCCAGAGCCAGGGATGCTAGGATGGCCACTCCCTAGGAGCACTGAGGGAGAGGAAGCGTGCTGGTCCTGGGCTAGATCTGACTGGAAAGTCTGTGACTTTCCTTAAGCTCCTGGGCTCCCCATCTCTGGAAAATTCTGCTACAGAAAACTTGACTTTCCCTCAGGTGAGGCCTCTCGGTAGTGTGACTCGGGGATACTACCTTCCTCATAACAGCTTTAGGGAGAGGTTTTAGGGTCATAGGTCCCACAGATATGACCCCTATCCACCTCAAGAACAAAACAGACTGGGACCAGCGAGGTGGTCAGGGATGGATATTTTGGCCCCGGCTAGAGCCTCTGAGAGTGAGGAGCAGGTTCAAGTTCAGTGGGAGCCTACCTTTAGCACTGCCTACCTCCCGCTCCAGGAACTTTCTCTCCATTGTATTCATTTTGTTCTGTCACCACACCACTGCAGTGACATGAAACAAGCACATTCCTCTGTCAGAGTTCCTGGGTCAGGAGTCTGGGCGGGGCCTAGCCGGGTCCTTGGAGTAGGGTCTCACCAGGCTGTGATCCAGGTGTTCGCTGGCCTCAGTCTCCTGTGCAGGTTCAGCTCTTTGAGGCTGTTGACAGGGTTGATCTTGCTGCCATATGACTGAGGGGTCCTGCTTCTGGCTGGCTTCTGACCGGAGGCTGCTCTCAGGTCCTAGGCTGCCGGCTGCCAGCTCCCTGCCCCGTGGTCCTCTTCAGCATGGCCGCTGACTTCACAAGGGAGAGCCCCTCACCCCAGGGAGGGCTCAGTTGCCTTTTAAGGGCTCTCACCTGATTAAGTTAGGCCCACCCAGAACGCTCCTTTTTGTTTAACTCACAATCCACTGATTCAGCACCTTAATTACACCTGCAAAATCCCTTCCCCTTTGTTATATTCCATGGGCTAGAATAAGTCAGTCTCACCCAGGCTCAAAGGGAGGCACACAGGGAGTGAACAGCTGGGGGAGGGAGTCATGGCGGCCACCCTGGGGTGTATCCCAACCCTCTTTTAAAGACCTCCGGCCACCATACTTACCTGGCAGGGAGATACCGTGATCACGAAGGTGGTTTTCCCAGGGCGAGGCTTACCCATTGCACTCTGGGTGTGCTGACCCCTGTGGTTCCCCAAATGTGGGAAACCCCACTGCATAATTTGTGGTAGTGGGCGACTGCGTTAGCGATTTCCCCTGAAGAGAAGTAAAACCCAGGCTCCAGGACTGTAATCCCTCCGCTTGCTTGCTAAGACCTCCCACCTCCAGCCCCCACCGTGCACAACCCCCCAGACCTGCTCCTCTTAGCTCACATTGAAGACTCAGTGCTCCATCTTCTCACACATTTCCCGCCAGGTGTCTGATCAGGTGGAAATAATTACATCAAAGAAGTAAGTCCCCCAAAGGGGACTCAATCTTTGTCTGGGGACTCTTCTTTATGCCAAAGAAGTGACCAGTGGGGACATTTTAGGGACCCAGGACTAGTGAGTGGTAAAAATGGCCCATTTGGATGCTGGGAAAGTCACTGTATCTCTCTGCTTAGATAATCACTTCCCTTGTTACTCTGTGGAGTCATTTCTTAGAGAGTGGTAGGGCCATGCCTCCTTCCTCCCACCAACCCAGAGGACACTGGCCTGATCAACCACCTATACTTCGTGTGCTTGTGTTTTGCAAAGGGGGTGACTAGAGAAGCCTGGTAATGGGAATTGCCCCAGTCTCCTCTATAAGGTGGTAATAATGATGATGGTGATACGTACCATTTACTGAGACCATTTACTATATGCTCAGCTACATGCTAAGCAGCCTCTGTGCAGTCCTCATGCCAGCTTTATGAGGCAGGTACTATCACTCTCCTCGTTTTACAAGTGTGGAAATTGAGTCTCTGAAAGTCTAAGTCTCTTGCCCAAGGTCGTGTAGTTGGGGAGTGACAGAAGTAGGATTGCCCCTCCATGGAATGTCAGACTCCAAAGTCCATGTGCCAGGACCTCTCTCGATCCCAGCACTTCCTGACTGTGGTATTGCGTGTGCATGTGCCCGGCACACCTCCCTAGGGCACAGCCACCTGGGGTTCTCCAAGGCAGCCCCTGAGGGCCCTGGAGTGTAGGGGATCGGAATGGGGCACAAGGCGCTGGCCCTGGGCACAGCATGGCTGCCCCGCCTGAAGCCTTGGAGATACTGGCATAAGTGCTGAATGGTTAAGAGAGAAACAAACCAACCTACACCCGGGAACTAAATGCCGAGAGAGACTCGTCTGTGATGCCTGCCAGAATAACAGAGCTTCACGTCCCCATGTGTCATCACAGGAAACATGAGACCACGCAACTGTGCAAAAGCTGCTCCATTGGCGGGGCGGGGGCTGCCAGGCTAGGCCTCCAGTTTTAGGTCCTGAGAGAGTTCAGTTGGTGGACTTGGCAACAGGTTAGTAAGGGTCCCTGGGTCTCTGCTGTGACCCATCTTCGGTGATTTGAGGATATCTAGGACAGATAGCACCTGCCTTCAAGGTTGGCTGGGCTTTGTGGTTGCTTTTCTTGGTTTTGTTTTCTAGTACGTTACTCCCTCAGTTAAATGCCAAAGTCGTGAGTATAATGGCACATGATCCAGCCTGGTGCCCGATGCAGATTACCTTTGGTAAGAGGCAAGCTTTCTCTGTCTCTGTCTCTGTCTGTCTGTCTCTCTCTTCCTCTCTGCTTTCTTCTCTCTCTTCCCTGTTTCTCTTTTGATTCCTGCTGGTTTCTTCCACCCTCTACCGAGTCATCAGTTCTAGGACTCCCACTGCTTCCGAAAAGACACCAGTGAATTGGCTGCTTGGGACAGCTGAATAATACAAATTGCACGTGGAGCTGTGGGAACTGATTGGTGCCTGAGTGAGTAGGAGAACTCAATTCACATGGATGGAACACCCAGGACGTGCCATCCTCTGTGCTCAGCCCGGTGTGGGAGAGTGCTGCAAGGGCTGGGGGAGGAGGCTGCAGAGCCCAAGCTTGACTGTGAGGAATACTCGCAGGGCAGGAGTGGTCAGCATGCCTGCATCAACCAGGTGCCCTGCTCCAACTCGATTTGGGTCTCTGGAGAGGGAGGAGGACAAGGAGATGGATCTTCCGTTTCCAGGGCATTTTCACCATCTGTCCTTCTTAGCCACCCCTTCTCCACTTTGGTCCCCACTGTCATGCCCACTGCTGCCTGCAGTCCCCTTCTGTTTCCGTGAGAAACAGCCAAATCAAATGTAGAGTTTCCAGGCTAACTAGGGGACTGCCACCTCTCAAAATGTCCTACCCTCTCTCACTTCTGAAAACCAAGTGGAGGGAGAGAAGCCCCTGGAAACTGAAGGAAGGAGAATTATTACCCAAGACGCGGAGGAGGAGGGGTGTTTATGAGTGGGACAGAGAGCTTTGGAGGATTTTTGACCACATTGGAGATCCCTTTTTCTGTGACGGTCAGGCTTGACCTCCACCCCGAAATCAGAGATCTGTTCTGGCCTCCACATCCTCAGCCTTGTGGGCAGGTGGGGGGAAGGGAGGGCAGCAGGGAGCCAGGTCATCTGTGGTCAGGGCCTGGCTAGATGGGCCATCAGAGAGAAGAGGTAACGTGTTCTGAGATAACCCCATTTATTCTGTCAGTCGATTTGATTTATTGCTCAGGTTTTCAGCTGTAATTACAGGGAAACGCAAACCTAATATCACCAGGTTTAATCGGGAGAGCTGATTTATAGATTGATTACAACTTAATAGATTTTCTGTATTAGGAGCGGAGTGGAACCAATGAGTAATTGGCTGAGTGAGGCTGGCCTGTTAAATTGGGAGACAAAAGAAAAATGAAAGCCAAACAGCCTGGGGAGAAAGGGAGGGGGTTTAAGATGTGAGGAGAGAGAGGCTGGGGAAAGAATCCAAGGAATCGACCTGGGACAGGTAGAGAGGAAGCAGCAACAAGTGGAATTTAGTGAATAAGGGGAGAAAGCTTTTGGGACCAATCTAGTCCAGCTCATTATTGAACTTTCTGAGCCACAACATCTCCATCTGTACAATGGGCATAGTTAATACTTTTGTCACAGGCGGCTGTGGAGGTAAAATGAGATTGTGTATGTGAAAGAGTTGAGCGTGGTGCAGTGGGGAATGGGGTAAAGGAAGAGAGAGGAGCCCTGGCCGGTTTGGCTCAGTGGTTGGAACGTCGGCCTGTGGACCAGAGAGTCCTGGGCTAGGCCCTAGCAGCTAGGGCCACGTACCAAAAAAAAAAAAAAAAAAAAAAGAAAGAAAGAAAAAGGAAAAGAGAGGAAATAGGAAAGTGGAAAGAGAGAGAACAGAAAGATTACAAAAAAGAGAACATAAGCAAACACTGATTTCAGCAATACACACAGCTGCCGTGGAAGAGACTGCTGTGCCCTGAGCATCCACACTCCCCTTTCTATAGTCATAAACTTTTTATTTTTTGACCAGGATAAAGTTTCCCAGCCTCCCTTGCTGTTAGGTGAGGCCATGTGACAAATTCTGGCCAATGGGTACAGGTCTAGGAAGGATACAGGTTCTGAAAGGAAGGAGTAACCCTCTCCTTCCCTCTTCCCCCAGCCGGTGCACCACCCTGGACCATGGCAGTGTCACAGTGAAAGGAACCTGAGTCCCTGACTCCAAGGACATCAGATGAACATAACTAGTCCTGATGACTTTGGGGAATTGAGCTACTCTACTGTCCTAGAGTTGTATGAAAGAGAGAAATGAGCCCTGGCCGGTTTGGCTCAGCGGTTAGAGCGTCGGCCTACGGTCCAGAGAGACCCGGGTTCGGTTCCCGCTAAGGGCATGTACCTCGGTTGCAGTTTGTCCCCTGCAATGGTCGGGCCCTGGTCGGTCGTGCGGGTGGCAGCCACTCGATGTGTTCCTTTCACGTCAATGTTTCTCTCTCTCTCTGTTCCTCTCTCTCCCTCCCACTCTACCTGAACAAAAAATGGAAAAATGTCCTCGGGTGAGGATAAAATAAAATAAAAAAAAAAAAGAAAGAGAGAAATGAACCATTTTCTCAGTTAAGCCACTCCGATGTTTCATCTTCTTAATATGCAGCCCAATCATATTGTAACTCAGTGTTGTCTGATCAAACTTTTGGAAATGTTCTCTGTCTGCACTGTCCAATATGGTAGCCACTAGACACATGTGGCCATTGAACACTTGAAATATGGCCAGCGCCACTGAGGGACTAAATTCGAACTAACTTAAAGTAGCCACAGGTGGCTGATGGCTACCAGAGCTGCTAGTGTGGCAGGTGTGCTCCAGGCTGCCCCGTCCTCTCTGGAGATCACCCTTTGCCATTTAAGCTACTGCCCGCCCCATGTTGGAAAGGTTGCTGGGGCAGGCTCCTCCTTGCCTTCTGATGTGGTTTGGAACTTGGCCTGTGCTTCAGCAGGAGACTCGGAGTCCGTGGACTTTAAGGGAACTAAAATCTGCTTGATTTCAGCTGCTTTTATTTATTTTTTATTTTGTTAATCCTCATCAGAGGATAATTTTCCATTGAGTTTTAGATAGAATGGAAGGAGGTGAGAGCAGAGAGAGAGAGAGAGATCAATGTGAGAGAGACACATCCATCGGTTGTACCGGGGGGGGGGGGGTATGGACCCTTGACCGAGCATCGAACCTGTGACCCCTCAGTCCACAGGCCAACTCGCTAACTGCTGAGCCAAACTGGTCAGGGCTCAGATGCTTTTAGATCAGAAAGGCCTTTGCTGGCAGAAGCCTCCTATTCTCTCTCTCTCTGAAGCATTCCACAGTTTTCTTGGTAACCTGGTCTGCAGCACAGCCTTACCAGCTTTAGAAAAATGTACAACTGTTTGCATAAGAAGTGGGACTTGCCAAGGTAGAGCCCCAGACTGAGTGTGTGCTGTAGGACTCTTAAAAAGACAGTAGTCTCTTCACAGGCCTTCTAGAACTCATCTTAACATGTTTTTCTCAGGTGACCAAGACTCTAAAATTTAGTGCAGTAATAATTCTTCCCTTGGTCTTTAAAGAGTGTGTAGAGTAATGAGCAAGATTGCTTAACAGTCACCCCGGGAGCTGGCATTGAAGAGTTGGTTGGAAGTAAAGATTTCGGAAGAGGAGCAGCTCTGGGAATGAAGGTGAGATTCAGGATGGGCCCTGTGAGTGTGTGGCCAGCCAGAAGGGGAGGCAAGAGACATAGGAATTAGAGGTACAGGCAGTTTTGTCCTGTAGTGGGGTTACAAGCAG